CACACACACACACACACACACACACACACACACACACACACAGCTCAGTCAGAAGAAAGAGTTCAGATTCACACGCTGGTCAAGGAGAGCACAGAGAACTCTCACATCCCCCCAGTATGATCGCAATCAGCTAAACACGCAAAGCTAGCATTGATCCTCACTGTTTGTGCCCAACCTTCGCCGCCCACCCCCGACACCCTCGGGCGAGATTTCATCTAAAGTCTGTTGGCATCTGTGTTATTAAATCCTCCAGTGTTAATTTAGCGCTAATTGAGTGAGGGATTCATTCCCCGTTTACCCCGAGCCTTTAATGGAGCAAAATCGGGATGAGAACGCCGGTATAAAAGACCGTATCAAGTCTTAAATCAAAAGCGAAATGCTGTTCCCACTGGGGAAGCACATATCATCGGAGTGAAAGAGAACTATGAAAGCAGAGATCATCAACTATTGATAAGGCCGAATCTGGTACAGCTGTAGACAAAATACAGAATATGTTTGACTTCAAGTTGGATATGCCTGCAAAGCGCTGATAACTGTCTGGCTGTGAAATAAGCTATAACCACACATGAGAGAGCAAATCATGGGCCTGTGTTTACCATCTGGCTACAGTGATGCTCTACATCACAGGTATATACGATATAGATTAGGAAAAGAATCAGGAGTAAGGATGAAACGGTTCTCCAAATCCATAATCCGCTACGAGTTTGAGGGCACAGTTTCGATTCATAACTCGTTTTTTTTTTATTTTATTCATGAAATGGAAAGGCTTGATAGCTGGATCACGAATAATGCATGCATCTTCACTACTACAGCTTTCACTAGACTAGTTATTCCACATGCAATCAGTGTATGCATACAGACCATCGTGGCTCTGCCTCATCCAGTCGAACCTGCCAGCTACCATCTCGAATGTTTTACAGGACTTCGGAGCGCTGTAATTCTGCATCCAAAACACTAGTTGGCAGCGTTGAGCCTTTTCATGTGCATAAATCAATGCTTTCTATGGTGCTTGCTGAGCAAATCATGTTCGAGTTATTGAGCAAAGATTAATTGCACAAAATGAGCATCAAAAAAGTCCTGCGTGCATTTACAAAGACAGCACAGGCAGCTTCTGTATTTCTGGGAGTTTCTTTCTCAAAGTGCAAAATTTAGGAAGGAGAATATCAAGCGGATGCACAATTTACTGCTAACTGTCCCGATAGTCCCATTTGTTCTCCTACAGCACCGGCAGTCAAACTGGGAAACAAATAATCCTCGTGATAATCTTGTGTAATTTTGTGCATGCATGTGGAAACAAAGAGATGATTCAATGAAAATTGTCAGATTTGATTGACAATTCAGTTTTTAAGTCACTGAAATCATGCAAATTCATCATCTGATGATGTCAATGACTCAACAATAAACCTCGTTTTCCGAACGACCTTGGAAGGAGCGATTATGCAACATTCGTCAGAGTAACGTTGAAGGTCTTTACCTGGCTGCGATCTTTATCCACCTTCTTGAAGCACTTGTTGAGCGACAGATTGTGGCGCACTGAGTTCTTCCAGCCTGTGGGGGCGCTCGCAAAGTAAGGGAAGTGCTCCAGAATCCAGCCGTAGATATCCTTCACCGGCAGCCGCTTGTTGGGCGCATCCTCAATGGCCATGAAAATCAGGCAGCTGAAGGAGTACGGAGGTTTTCGGTTGGCCCCCGCCGTCAAGTCGTACGCTGAGTGCGCGTCACCGAGCAGGGGGTCGTCTGGGGAGGGAGACGAGGAGGAGGGCGAGCGAGGGTGCTGGCCATCGGGGTCCTGCAGAGGGGAGACGCTACGAAGCCCAGAATGGCTGAAGCTGTTGAGGAGGTCCGTGCTCTCGTGGAGCCAGGAGAGGCTGGTGAGCTCTTCGTCTTCGGCCTTGGAGAAGGAGGCGGACACGGAAAGGGAGAGGTCGGCCGCCTCGGCTTCAGATGCCGCTGTGGCGGCGTCACCTTGCCGGTACGGCGGGCTCATGCCCTGTGAGGCACTGGCTCCACTACTGGGGCTCTGGGCCTTCTTACTGGGGGGCATGGTGGGTCCCATCCAGCCCAGGGCTCGCTCCTGTAGGCAGCAGAAAAGAGGGGTTGGGGGGGAGCAGGAGAGAAAAGAAACAACATTAGCTGATGAAACTGTTCATTCATTTTTGTTAAAGGCCAAAGGGTGGAGACACGTAACAAGATTTTGACCACATTCCCAATTAGGCTGCGTTAGATCTGAAGGAGAAAGTATACATCATCATTTCTCTCCTGGGCTTTCTATCCACTTCTGACTGAAACAGCAAATTTAGTGCTTCATCGGTTGAGGAAATCCTGCCTTGTACAACTACCCTCTAATTACTAGCGTAACAGCAAAGTATTGACATTACACGGGGTTGCTGTCATAACATATGAGTACTGTTAAAGGTCTTATAGTTGTGGGGTCGCAGAATCGCTGGTGATTTAACATCTCCAGCAGGAGAAAATGTAATTGTCAAACGTGCTGCGACAAATGAGTGCAGAAGAAGAAAAAAACCCTTTATCTGGTGGATTTGAAACATTAGAAACGGAGTCCGACGGTCAGACTTCGTTCCACAGCAGGATGTGATGGGGATGCGATGGGAAAATTTGCAAAGAAAAGAGCAAAAACAAATTACAGCGTGAGTTCAAATCTATCCCTATTCTAATCAGACCGTTATTCTGCTAACATAAGAGCGATGCTGTGCTCGTTACACGCAGGCAGAGCGCCGTAATTGAAGGGGAACGGGTCTGAGTATCACACCACAATCAGAAGGCTCGCAACCGGGCCTTTGATTGTCCTCTAGCACAGACAGCTGTGGGAAGGACCCGGGCAGCGGCTACAGCAAAATGTAATCTGCTCCGCTCGCTCTCAACACGTTTCAGAGACACACATGCCTGCTCTTGGATGCACACACACACACACACACACAATGCAAATCTAAATCTAATCTGCACAGGTCCGGATGAACATGCAAACACGAGCAGGGGTTCTAAAAGGTTGTGAATGTAAAAGCAGATGAACACACACACACACACACACACACACACACACACACACCATCAGGACACGGGGATTAAGTGGCGATACAGGGGCGGCCCCCGTGCGGTGCGATCGCTCTCTAATCCAAGGTGATCATCAGCCGATCTGTCCCCTCACTCTGGATGATTGACTGACAGCTGTCACCCGTGGCGAGTTGTTGCACGGTGACAACTGTCAGCTCGCTACAGCTTTGGCCCGCCGCGTCGCCACGGCAACAGAGCAAAACAACTCATCTCCTTTTTCTCCTCTGCCGCGTCTCCCTCCCATCTCGCCCCTTTTCTCACTTTTCTCCCAGCGCAGATAACTCTCTTTAACGGTGCCGACGGGCTGCGGCGGAAGGACGGCGCTAAATATAGAACAGTGATGTATAGCGCTCGCTCCACGTATAGCCGGCCAGCCTACAGTCACCTCGCCGCTCCATCTAACGGTCTCCACGGGCGCAGGAACACGCTCGGCGAAGCTTTGATCTCGTTTCTCTCTTCTCTCGTCCCTCTTTTCCAGTCCTCGCGCTATTTGACAGCACGCGCGCTCATTCAACAAGCTGTACCTGTCTGCAGGTACAGTGTTGCTGCACCAATATTGACATTGAGCATAATGAATTCAAATTGCTGAAAATAGTGAGAGCACAATCAAAGGGATGGGCGAGGTGGGACGAGTGCTTGACAGGCTTTTCAAGGTGTGCGTGTGTGTGTGCGCATTTATGCATGTGTTTGACAGGCTCGTCACGGTGCATGTGTGTGTTTGTCTTGAGAAGGAAGAAAGGGCATCGCAGTGACATTGTTCCTAGTAGGAGTCCACCGGAATGCAGAGATGGCTCAGATGCTCTCTTTCTCTCTGTCTCCTCTTCCTCCTCCTTGTTATGTTGCCATAGCGGCAAGGGGGCCATGAAACATTACGGCTGACAGTAAAGTCATCTCATTTTACTGTTGCTATGACAACAAACTCCTCACTGTTGGTTGGGGCCATCGCGAGCTGCCGCCCAAGCCTCGTGCCTGAGTGTGCATGTGTGTGTATGAGGGGATGCATGTGTGTGTGTGTGTGTGCTAGCATGTCTCCCATGGGCTCTCATAAAGCTTAACACACTTGCTTGGCTCTAAACAAACTTTCATGCAACTTCTACTGCGAAGCCCTCAGGACCAACTGCTAAAGGACAAAGGCAGCTATCGCTCAAGTTCAGGCTAAATAACGCTCGCTGCGAGTGTGCGCGCGCGCACGTGTTAGAAGCATCCCCACATTTGTTTGACAGATGGGACTGTGCTATTCTCTCTGTCTTCTTCATTCGCTGGATCTCCTTTGTGTTTGCATGCTTTGTTTTGATTTGTGTTCGTCTCTGTTTGGCATGTCCACATTTGGCTTAGCGTGCGCATGTGTTTTTTTTCTGCGTTTGTCTACGTGTGTGTGTGTGTGTGTGCACGTGCGCATTGGACTGTAAGTACACTGTCTGACTAGTTGTCTAGTGCATTCTTCATGCAAGTGTCTGTGCATACCAATACAATTACAAGCAGCTGAGCTCTGTACAGTGTGCCTGTTCTCACTGTTCCTCTGCACCCTGATAATAGAAACTCTAAAAGACACCATTCAATAAGAATGAAAACTCCATCCAAAAGGAAAGTGATGGGCTGTGCACTCGCAAATTTTATGCTGCCATGAATTCAGAATCCACGGGACTCAGGTAAGAACTATGGATGTTTGGATAGGGTATCCTGACCCGGAAAGCTTGACAGGGTATCCGTGGAAATTGGCCAATCTATGATGTAACTCAACTGTTTAGGTCATCAACTCAACTCATTCCTGTGGAAGCTCAAGCTTCAAGTTAGGTATGTCA